GGAAAGAGTCACAGAAATAGGAGTTAAAACTCTCTGAGGAATTTATCCACTGTACAATAGCAGCAAAACTGTATAGTCATCCAGCTGCTAACATCAATAAACATGAGTTTTCTTCTCCGAATTTATGTCAAGAGGAAATCAGAGAAGCATAAGAAGCAATGCAAGCTTTTTGCAGATCTTAGAGCTACAAGTGACTATCTGTAACTTCTGTAACTAACCTTTTCCAAGACTTGATTTCATTTTGATTGTATCCAATCTCTTTTTATAATCAGAGTCCAACATGAAACAACCTGGAAATTGTTAAGATGAATGCAAACATGGCAATAGTAGTTCCCAGCATTAAGAAACCACCAGGGGCCTTTTCAATGCTATATGCATGCTTGAAAGGAGTACATATTATATATCTACTCTTATATGTGTGAAAAAAAAATATGCTATATAGAATTGACTTTCTTTCTAGTAATGTGCTGCTGATTGAAGCATGGTCATTATTACTAATAGTGCACTAGCAAAATCACCATTTCTGCAAGTTGTAGACAGATTAGGCTGGCCTGTCTCGTCCATGACTTTACAGCGTTTATGCTTTTTCTACTTCTTTCTGACATATTCAAACAATTCTAGTGGAGCAGAGAATTGACTTTTGTTTATTTCTCAGAGATATCTTGAAAGATTATAAAGATATAAAAGTAGCCAAGAAAAAAAAATAAAATAAAAAAGCAAATGACTGTACTAAAATTTTCAACCTCTGAGTTAGCAAAGTGAGAAAGTATTGAAGTAGTTGTAAAGTTCATTATCAGTAGATGTTTAGATTGCAACAGGTCTTAAGAGCAGTGGAATTTTTTTATAAGTTGGTTTTGGTCAACACCTACTCAAGTCTGGCACAAAGCTGAAACGTTGGCCTGGAGAGGTGCAGTCTCTACAGCCTGGCTGCCTTCCCTAAGAAGCCATGAGCAAACCAGTGCTTGACTTCTTTTGTGATGAGAATGCTGTGCTGTCTTTCAGCAGCTCTTATTTTCAAGGAGTTTTATGTTTTTGTAAAGCCGCGCAGTATGTTTTTAGGCAGCTGGGAGAAAAAGGGTCTGAAATCTGCTTGTAGATAGTTGAGGGACAGATTGCCAGTTCAGAGCTCCAAAGCAGGTGTGAGTCAGAGTTTTAAAGAGTAAGCTCCAATACCACGTTACGTGGTGACATGCTTACACCGTTGTGAAATGAGCTGACAGAGATGTTTGAAGAATAGTCAGCTTATTCTTCAAGTCCTCCATCCAAAATTTCCTTGGGTAAACAGTTTTGCAACCCGTTGAGTTAGGATTGGGCCCATGATGCCTGTCAGTTGAGAGATCCTGTAGCAGGACTTCCTATGACCCAAAGACCTGAGTAACCCATTGGACTTCAGCTAAGCTCTTCTGCTTACTTGTTCATGAAAGAAGCTGGCTCCAAGTTTGGCATCAGCTTCCCAGTCAGCTGAAATAATGCAGACACTGGTAAGCAGTGATTACACAGTAGTCACAGCTGAATCAACAAGACTTGTCCAATAAAATATAGGATGGGGAAGAACTTCACATGAAGCTCAAGAATGAATTTTCACTGTATCAAAGAAAATGTGGGCGATAAAACGGGCAGTTCCTAGACTTGATAATCACTGACCATTGGTCAGGGAAATGAACAAATTCCAGGAAGGTACACTGGGTTTACCCCTAGTTAATTCTCCAATAATTCTTTTGCCTGTCCATAAGCTTGGTTTCTGGAGGAGACCAAAGATATGCAGAGGCATTTTGTGACTAGAACTAGATTCCATGTCCACCTAAGTAACACAACAGCTGGCTTTGAGGGCCAAAGTTAACAAACTCAAGTTTCAATGTGTGTGTCACAGTCATTATACCACAGGAGCCATCATAACTGAATGAATAAGTGTTATTTCAGCCTTTCTGGCATAGTAAATGTGCTGATGGTAGTGGAGTTTCTATTGTAAAGCATAAGAAAGCAAGAGGAACACCAGGCCAATAAAATCTGTAAGTGTTTTGCTCCAAAGTCAGACAAGCAGATCCAAAATATTTCCCTTAAAATATACATTTTTCGTGGCTCAATTAATAATTTTGCATTCACAGATACTAAGATACTAAAGACTTAAGAAGGAGAAGGACAAACTGAAGCACAAATTAGTTAAATATTCTGAGCAAGGTTTTGAACTAGATTTGAGTTAGTGCTATATTTTCTCGCTTTCCTTATGCCGATCCTGGAACTAACATTTATAGGTTTAGATTTGTAAATACAAAACACGTTAACTCTTCATAGTGACCTATAGTGCTTTATATAGCAGAATGATGCTTTCTACTGTACATGTATGTTTGTTACCTGTTATTAGCTTTCCTGTCCCCTTTTCCTTCATGTATTCTAAAGCTTTCATATAGCCATGAGAATTTTCTGCATGTATCAAGTTTACAGTCTTCAGTTGCCAAAAGAATGTCACGGTCTTTGTCGTGCTACATGCATGTGAGAAAGGAGTGCAGGAAAAACATGATACCTTTACACTTGCAGTTGTCTTTTGAACAAACGTAAAAATAGCTTTCACCCTCAAGGGCAGGCGTTGCAGGATCCCAGGGTCCTGAAGTGCCATTCAATATCATGCAGACTGGAATTTCATTGAAAACAGGTTTATAGTGAAGAGTAATAGGAAAGATGCAAAGTGGCCATGGTACAGAGCCTGCTGTGACAGACGTTCCTGAATTCTGTGGTGCTGGATGGATGCGTGTCTCTCCTCCCCTTTCCAGATCAGGCCTCTTTGCCCTTGGGTTTGTGTCCTGTAAGACTTGGTTTCTGCATATTTAGTCACACTCCAGTTATATATCATGCAATTGTGTGATGCTGTCTCCTGCAAGCACGCTTCAGTTAATTATTTTGGGTTTTTGCTTGGTTGTTTTTTCCCCTGAAAGCTAGAATCAAACGCAAGTGAGACTTATTCTGATAAACTTCCAGGAAACATTCAGGGAAGAAAGAAAAAAAGCAGAGCTATCTTCTTGCTGTTACACAGACTGTAACCATGGACCTGAGTAAACAACTGGAGAATACTGAAAGGAACTGGAATAAAGAGAAGATGGAATTGCTGGAGAGATTTGACAATGAAAGGAAAGAATGGGAATGTCAATGGAAGGTCATGCAGAAGAAAATAGAAGAGGTACTTTTAAACAAAAACCTGAGCACTAACATTTCCACTTGGAATGAAGTGACTAGGGCTCACTTCGTTTTTTTTTTTTTCTGAGTTATATCCTGAGTTATATTTCTTATGTGTCACTGGAAGTTTCTAATAGCTGATGGTAGGAGGCAAAGCCTGGGGTTAAGCAGTATTTGCAATTGCTCTTTTAATAGTCATGAATATGAAGCAGGAGGTTAAATGTCACTTTGTGTGAAGTTTGCTATGGTATTGTTGGCTGTTATATACTGCTGCCAGTTCTGCTGGGCATGAGCCACACTGCTCATATCATACATGCTTTTTTCAAGTACACGCTGAATGGCTGCATATATGGGGTTTAGGAAAATACCTATTTAGTAACAAAACCTAGGTATCATAATTCTCTGGCAAAAAGGTATTAGATGGTACAGGTCTTCTGGGGCAAATATTAAAAAGAATGTCATACATGAGACACTGCGTGATACAGAATTGTTCTATCTAGAACCTCTCGATTTAGGGATGGCATTTAGTAGAGAAAACAGGTACAGTAAATAGCATGTATGTCCTGACACCTCTTGTGTTTACACATACTAACAAACACTCACTCCCTGACACTTCTAATGCATCTCCTTCCAGAAATAGTTAAGGTAATTATTTATTATTATTCTATTTCAAAATTGTCCCTGCAGCAGAACCCTCTGGCACTCTGCAATGCATAAATTGAATCTGCCTTGGCAACATATAGAAGCAAGTTTTTTCACCACTGAGCTTTCCACATTTTTCATTCTAATATACACATGCAGTTTGCTTGCTCTCTGCCAACACCGTCCTGTGGCTGAGCAGCACAGGAATGTATGGCAGAGATTGCTCACATGAAAGTATGAGAAGGAAAATTATCAGAGCTAAATGAATTGCAGCTATACACTGCCCTTTAAACCAGCCTGCAGCACAACTCCATAATGTCAGCTCTCTTACGTTTTACCTGCAATTCTTGCAGATTTTGATATGATAGTCTTTGCCACATTTTGTCTTTTTTGTTAGGACATTTCTGTGCAGTCTCACCTAATTTCACTGCCAAGGTGAGAGTGCTTCAAAAATCAGTAATGTAATCTCTGTGTGTAGTTGAATTTCAGTTTATTAGGTATATGAGCTATTTTGGAATGATAGTAATGTGTTGCGAAAAGGTATTCTGGCTATTAGTAATCCTAACAACGGCAGTCAAGACCATGTTTTTTCCATGTTCTTTATTAGCATTAGGAAAGCGTGACAGAGACAGAAAAAGAGATAAAGAATGGAATGATAAGGTATGGAATGGGCCTGAGGGGAAGAAAATGAAGCAAATCACTGGGTACTGCAGGACCAGACAAAACTGCAGATGATACCCCAAGGTTATTGATATCTTAAGGTCTCCTCTTAAGCTTTGTCTAAAGCTGCCTTTGATTTCAGTTGCCTGACCTTTCTTTGTCAAAAGTCACATGGCTGGAAAAAAGGGGAGAAATACTGTCATCTGTAGAGGGATTTCCTCAATAAAACTTGTTCTACTTAGCAGCTTGTATTTTTATTTGGCATTTTTCTCCAGCCCACCAAAACCTAACTTAATTCCTGGATTACGCCAGGAAGACTTATGTGGTTTAGGAGAAGATATTGCTGAGCTACAAGGTGGTAGTCTTCCTTCTTACTGCTATGCTCAGTCTATGTAAGGCACTCATTTCCTGGAAATTACAAAGTTCAGCCCTCAGGTTCCATGAGCAGTTGGGCTTTGGGAGTGAATTCTGAAAGCCCAGGATGAGGTCAAGTGTCAAGTCTCTGAACATGAGAATACTTCTAATCCACAGCACTACCCATGAAACGGCCATATGTTCTTCATGTTGTTATTCTTTTTCACTGTCCTTCCAAAAGCTGTTGTAATGGCCTTGTGCACTGTGAGAGAGCAGGCAGATGGCTGTTCAGGGGTGCCTGCTCTGCACTTTCTTCATAAGGGCAAGTTAAGAATGAATGTTTATAGAGCTGTGGGATTCTTGGCACGGGAAATGATACTGTAAGCAGAAGAGGTTTTTATGATGTTGCGATTTTTTCTAATTTATAATTTATCACAGTTCCCTAGTTTGAATGTGCTGGGTGATCGGGATTAACATTTACTAATGAAGCCACTGGATCTCAGCAGATAGCATGAAAGAAGAGGGTGACAGCACATTGCCAAATAATACCATTCTGCAATACTGATTTATCACTCCAGTCATAGGGAAGAATTCCCTTTGCCTGAGAACCAGAAGAGTCTGCTCCAGAGCAGATGGCGCTGTATGTGATGAGAATTCACTTCCATTCCTTAAACTAATATACTTTAACAGCCTGTAACATAGCCAGAGCCCTCTCCCTCCCTCACATTCCCCATCCATCAGATCAGGGCTGTGTCTACCACATAGTGCGCTGATATTACCTGGAACCATACAGCTTCTGTTCAAGGCAGGGCCATTGACCTTGTGACATCTCTTCAAATCCCACCCTATGGGTGGAAGCCATACATTAAAACCATGGCAAAGAGTTTGTGAATGGCCACAGCACTTTCCTCATCCTGTGACAATAATGGTCTGTGAACTATCACACTGTGTGACCCAACATTTTTCTACTAACATGTGATGAAATCTTTTTACTTGGCGCTACTGAATGAAGCATCATTCAAAACAGAAGATGAATATGTTCTTTTACCATTAAGTTCATCACAATACCATGATTTGTTAGAAGGTTCTGTTGTTTTTTCAGCTTTACCAGGAGGTAAAACTTAGAAGGGAGAGCAATATGAATGTCCATGATAATAAGGCCATTCAGAGCAAGATGCTGCAGCTGTCCGTGCATTCCCCTACTTCAGAAGAGAGTGACACAGTGGAGCTGAACTATCAACAAAATGTGGCAAATGACAGGATGGAAAAAGGAAGTTTGCTCAGTAAAACAGGACATGAATGTAAAGAAACCAGAGCCAAGAGCAGAAACAATACTCTGTTAATGGACAATCTGGCCTTTGAGAACCGTGAGGAACATGAAGACAGCCTCAGCATCAAAACTTCCAAGAAAAATGCCAAGAATTATATTGGCGATCTCAATGTAGTAAGTAAAGTATGAGCATGTTTCAGTTACAAGGTTGAGCAAAATACTGAGGGCTTTGGCCTGCCAGGTTAACCTAAAGACCTGATCTCCCTGATTTTAGCTTTCCAGCAAGGTACTGTCTCTACTTGCTTCTTGATTTGCTATTGATGAGTTTCTTTTCACTCTTTAAATGTGTTAACAGCATGCTTTTTATCTCTGTTCATAACCTAGGGCATTTTTTTATCTTTCCTTGTGCTACTTTCCTCTGCTGTGAGTCTTAAATGCAATTTACCACAAGTTTCCAAATAATTGTGGAGGTACCATTTAAAAGGCTTATATTAAAGGACTGGTTTTATATTTATAAAGGCTCTTAAAGAACTTGCCAGAGTCAGTGAAGAATTATGCAGCTATCAAGAGGAAATTCGAAAGAAGTCCAACCACAGAAGGTAAAAACATATTTGGACTCTTTATATTAGAGGAAGAAAATGGATAATGAGACTGTGCTCCTGTTCACTTTGAAGGGGGGTTTGCTGTTGAATTTGTTAGGAGTTGGGCAGTTCCTCTCCTAGTGTTTCAGTGTTCAACATAAAACATTCAAATGACATATACTGAAACATGATACAAGGGCACATTTTACTAGCAAAAAGGAGCTTATCTATAGAACCTACAAAATGAAATTAGTATTTATACGAGATTTAATTGTACTTGTTTCTAATGGCTATATAGACAATTGGGAAAGCTAGCAGATACTTCTGTGTGCCCTGGTCCCATTTCCACGCAGTTCTATAGAACACTGTATGGGTTTGTTAGGCTGGGAGTTTCATACATTAAGCTCAGATCTAGCCTTAAGTGTGGGGGATGTGTCAGGGACTGGCAATCCAAGACTGCAAGGAAGGCAAGAGAAGGAAGAACAACATACTTTTGTACTAAAGGAAAGACAGTAAGCTAGACTCTGGAAAGTATGGCAAATGAATATTCCACCATCTGTTAAAAACTCAATGTTCATGGTCTCCTTTAGCAAGATAAACACCAGTCTTCCTCTTGAGCTGTGCAGAAATTCTCAAAAGGTAAGACTGAAGCCGTGGTGTGATGGGGTGCACACCATGAAAGAGGTTGAGAAAGGGTATGTCTCAGCGATGTTGAGACCACATGGAACTCTGCATCACGTCAAGCTCTTCTCAGATGCTCCCAAAGAGCAGAGTGACTTCTTACACTCCCCCATGCAATAAGTTGGTTGTCTGTTGCTGATTTAATATTGTAGCTGGGTGTTTGTATCTTTAACGCAAATAGTATCATAGCTTACTGTAGGATAGGTAAGAAAACAGGCAATCATCTACAAAAACTCAGAAAAATAATTTTAGTGGCAAGGGAAAGGAATACAAGATTGCCTTTGTTGAGCTTTCTTCTAATTCTTCATGTATGTTTCAAATGTGCTGGGTGTATCAGCTGCAGCAAAACTGCTCCCAAATCTTTTTGAGCAGCCAGTGTCAAAACACCTGCTTATAAGAAGAATGAATCCATGCTGAGGTCCCCTGGGCGAATACTCTTATTGCTCATCCTTAAAACACCTCTCCTTTTATTTCCAGAATGAAGTCACTTCCTTTCCTGGGGGAATTTGAGGAAACCCAAAACACAGTTATTCTGCCGGAGATGAACCATGTGTCCAGCAATGAATCACAGACTTCAGTTACTTTTGAAACAGAGGAACATAATAATAGGAAGAATCTGGTGAGCTCCACCATGGCTGTGAAGGACACGTCTTACGGTGGTCTTATTGGTGACAGAGGGACAGACTTCAGACCTTGGCAAAAGAAAGAAGCTCCACCAGTTCCTCCACGGAGCACTTCTCGGCACCTAACAAACTCACTTTCTGCAGTTGTACAGCTTTCTGAAGCACCAATAAGAGATCCAGGCATCAAAAGCAATTGCAAGGCTCAGGACTGCAGGAGTGGAAGGAAACCGATGAATCCTTCACCTATAAACCAGAACGAAACTGCAGCAGGCTGTGCAAATGAAGGGCAGGCTGCAAGAGGTCCTGTGATGGTAACTGCTGCAACACCTGTAACCAAAAATGAGTGCAATGTACCAACAAGTTTCTGCCACAACACATGGGCATATGATGTGGGCAAACTTGGAAGAGACAATAAAAGTGAACCTTCCCCACTGTCAGCCCAAAAGAGTTGCTCAGATGGAAATATGGCCCAAAGCAACAACATGCACCAGAAACAAAATTCCAAGTCTCACAGCAGCCCTTATTACAGTAATGACTTTTATGCCCCTGCTACGCTGCACAATGATCTTTTCGAAGACTCTAGGTATACTTCGGGAAAGACCCAAAGAAATGAAACTTTAGCAGCAAAGATCGATGAGTTTAACCGGACTGTATTTCACACAGATAAACGTAACAATGCTTTTCAAGAAAACCAGGTGCCTCGAACATCATCAGAAGATCACAAGCCCTGCAGCCCGCTGTGTGAGTCTGCTATTAGCAGGACAGAAACTGCAAATACGTCTTGTGTTTCAAATCCCAAATTCTCTGCAGCAAAGGAGCAAGAAACTAGCAACCCCGGCAAAGCTGTCAGAACGGCAGGGCAACAAAAGCAAATAAATGGGCTTCCAAATACTGGTGGTTATAGGCACATGCTTCACGAGCATGACTGGAGACCAAGTAATTTATCCGGTCGCCCGCGCTCAGCTGACTCAAGGTCGAACTATGGTGTTGTTGAAAAGCTTTTGAAAAACTATGAAAAATCAACAGTGAGTTCTCCGGGTAATGCAAAGTGCTGCAAAGATAAGTGGACACGGGCAAATTCTGAATTCACCGATGGGGGTTGTGAGACATTGAGTCAGTATTTAGAAATGCTCCAGATTGAGCAAGGAAAGCAAGAATTTCCGAGGAATTCAGCCAGGCATATTGGGCAGCAATTCAAGCAAGGAAAAGAGAGACAGAAGTTACCAGAGGTAAGGTTCATAAGAATGGCAAGAACAAAGTAATTCGGTTTCATACAAAGCTTCAGATTCTAAAATGAGGCAGGCTAATGCGATATTATAAATAATCATGTTAAAATAGGCACTATAGGCCAGGATCTGGATGAATCAGCAGTATTTCCTCTGAAGATAATAGAGTTGTGGGAGGCAGAAGCATGTAAGAATGACCAGTGAAGACATGTGCCAGATTCTGAACTCTGCTGCTGTTGTGTAAAGCTAGATTTTAACTGCAGTGCAGTTATTCAAGGGTTGAGCTAGCAAGAACTGCAATTGGGTTTTAACTCCCTCCCTCCTTCCTTTAGCTGACGAGTTATTTCTTAAGCCTTCCCAAAAGGCTTAAGCACACTTGGCCATGTCAAAATCCTAGAGGGCTTAGATAGCATTCTTCAACATCCAGGGTGCTGCTTGGTTCAGAATTTCCTTGGAACTGCCCATGAAAAGAGGGTATTGTAGCTCCATAAAGTTTCCAGTAACAAAGTGACCTCCTCTTACCCATGTCTCAGTTCCAGGCTTCTCCTATATGTTCAAGTATAGGCTCACAGAAAAAGAAGAGTATGGCATGACTAATTAATTTATATTTGGCTGAATTTTATTTGCATAGGTTTAGAAATATTGCCTTTGCCAACTTTCTTTCTTAATGAAAAGAGAAACAGATGGTTTTGAAAATACACTGCAAGTTGCAGGTTCTCTAAAAGGCCACAAAGAAAGAAAAATAATTTTTCCTGAAGAGCTCCTTGTCCGACAAACAGAAAGAGATATGTCCCTTAGCGTCTCAGAAAACAGAAGGCGAATGTGTTTGGAGCTGAGAAACTTAAATGGGTTCAGACTGTCAACTGGTATGCTTTAAGCTGTCACAAATTCAGTGGAGCTATGTGGATTTAAACAGCTGAGAATCTGACCGTGCAGATTTTCTTCTGCATGTCTTTCTGACAGCCTTGCAGTGATGCATCATCTTGCTTAGCAGACACATCTTTACTATAGCACAGAAAGAAAAAACCATGAAAATTCTGATTTCTTTTTCATCCAACGAACTTTTGATAGGAGAACAAATTTTCATCAATGAATATGTAGAGAAGAGATAATGACTAGTTAATGACTCAGTTTACATTGATGTAAGCCCAGAATAATTTTATTAAACCAATTGGATATTTTTTGTCCATAGGCTCACACTGTATGTTGTCATTTCTATCCGCACAATCTAAGTATAGGATATAGCCTGATTAGGGGGGTACCATTTTAGGTCCAGCAGTATTCATGTCACAAAGATGTAAAGAACTACACATGGCATGAGGCATTTGGTTTATTTTCATTATTTCCAATTTACATCACTGTAGCTGTGATCAAAATCTGTTGGTTTTCCTGTGTACATAAGGCTCTGCATGTAGACATGACACTGCATTAATACATAACCATTCTGAATTAGTTACCAAGTGTAAACAGCTTCACATTGCACTAACGGAAACAGAGTTCTTAGCAAGATACGACTGCTGAAATAGGATCTATCAAAAAATACCTCAAAAGTATGTAGATCATACTCCAGTAATGTAAGATGGTATTCTGATTCTACAGTGTTCATTGACAAAAAAGCTTCCAAAAGTTAAAAGAAATGAGAAGCAAATGTCAGTTTTGGCTTGCATTAACATTTTATACCTTTCCTTGTGTCTGACACTTGTCTCCATATATTTTAAACTGCAACCAATGTGCGAATCCCTAAACATAGAAATAGCTGTTCTTTTGCATTCTGCACATTACTGTGCTCCTTTTAATATCTTCAGACCACCTGTTCTGAGGTCACCCCAAATGTCTTCCTACATTCCCTCTGCATTCCATAAAAGCCGTAACTTGTTAAAGCAAGGAATTGCCTTTGTGTTCTAGATATCTGTGCCAGCTAAATGTTCAAGTGGGAAGGGTTTCTCGCGGCCTGCTCGGCCAGCAAATCGACGCTTACCTTCCAGATGGGCATCCAGATCACCGTCAGCACCTCCTGCTGTGAGAAGAACGGCGTACAACTGCTCTGTTTCCTTTCGGTCAGAGACCTCAGTAGTCTGAACCCAGAGCTGGGTTGGATGGCATTGTGAAAGCTCTATGCTTCGTTATAACTGTGTTCGGTATGTGTTATAGCAACCAGTTCTACACTGTTGTATCTTGTCCAAAAGTGACCCCACCACCTGCCGGACAAAGCATTTTGAATCTTAGGTCATCGTCACCATGGTCTTCAGTGTTTTTATTGACATGAAATTACTATACCCTTGGTTTTCTCTTTTTTTTTTGGTAATAGCTCACAAAGAATTTCTTTTGAATGGCATCTTCCTTAATTTGCCAATCAATTTTGAGTTGAAACAATGTATAGTGCTGTATATTCTGACTCTTCTGCAAACAGCAGAACGTAAAGCTGTATGCATGATCATGTGTTCGTAGGTGCATGTGTTGGACTAGGAAGTATACAGGTCTGTATTTAGAAGAGACAAACTGTGCTAGTGTTGACATTGAAATTACAACCTATATGCCTACATATATATATATATACTTTGTGTTTATTTAAAAAAGTTTGAAATATACAGTCCTGATGACATTTATATTTTGTATATCTTTTACATAGGTTCACAGGTGTAGTATTTAATGTACAAAAACTAAATATGCATTTTTGTGACTGATTGCAGCGATAATGCCTTGCACAATATGTATCTGAAGCAGACTAGTTCGACTGATTCGTCAGTCATGCTTCATGGCATCCTCGTTCGGTTTCCTAATCCTTATGATGCTAGGTCAAAATACCCAAACATATTTTTTCTGAATTAAAATATTATATGATTTGTAATACATTAGCCTTTTTCAGCACCAGAGACATTCCTGAAACGTTCCAATCCCTTTAAAAAGCTTAAATGTGCCATTATATATATAGCGTACTGTAAACACTTTGGTAGTTTCAACTAGTGTAACATACAGTTTATGAAGGGAAGAAAAGGGTTGTATATGCTCAATTCTGTGAAACATATTTTTCCTTCTAGCATTATACTTTGAGGTTTGGCAAAGCCAGAAAATGATGGACTCGTTTACTTTCACTCAAGGCAGGAGAACAAGGACTGTTGTTCCCAGTGCTGCAGCCACACTCCTTTTTTACTCTTCTCCTAGACTAGAGTGCCTGAGCCACTTGCTAATTTACTGCTCCCGGACTGACTCGTGGCAGTCAGTTACAAAGTTTACTTGCACTCTGGCAACAAGCTGCATCTATTACGGAAATATTGCATTGAGGTATGATCACAATGGTGCCCGAAATCCTAGACACATGGTGTTGGAAGTATGTTTTTGCCATCACTTGACTCGGTATTACGGGCCATCTGAATGTGGTGCACAGAGCCTGGCTTGTTCCTTCTCACAGCATGAAAGAAACCCGGATGCTACGCAGACTCTTGCTGAACTTTCAGAAAGACAGTGTCCTTCATCCTGGAATTTTTGCACCCTTCTCTAGGCTGTTGCTGGCTGCATAGTGCGGTAATGATGATAAATGTTACCTTTAAACAGCATGTCTAGGTTAAAAGTAAAGAGGCACTTCAACATCAGCCTGATCTTGCCTTGCAACTTTTCTTCTTCTCCTGGAGAAACATAGTGTGTTCAAAGGAATTTCAAAAATCATCCCAGGATCCATTAATGTGCACATCTTCTTATGTGAATGTAAAAAGGATTTCAGAGAGAGTGTAGGCTTTTGTCCTAGTGAATTGTATATGTGGCAACATAGGGAAAATTAATTGTGCTTAATTTGAGAGTGATCTATTGTCCTACTCCAGTCGTGTTGAGAATTCACGCCTTTTTCCTTCCTTTTAGGGCCTTATTCTTCTTTCCTCTGCACAACTTCGGTTTTGCAGAGAGAGAAAACAGGAGGCCACGTGTTCTGAGCAATATAGCCTGGACGGTAGTATCAGTGACTGTTCAGGCATGCCAGTATTGGAGCGAGCAGGCATTAGAGCCATAAATCCCACCTTATTGTGCCATTGTGGCTGCCTGCATGGCAAAAACATGCTCAGAGAAATTTGCCCAGTCGAGACTTCTTGTCCTTTCTAGGTGTGAGTGGTGGGAAAAATCTTACAACAATGTATGGAGGCTTCAAACAGGTCAGCAATTAATCAAAATTTACTCAGGCATCGTTGCAGAGTTATTACTGGAAAAGATACAAGGACAGAAAATGTTGAAGAAAATTTATACAGTTTGGATAGAAATAAAAATCTGGATGATCCAGTAAAAAATCAAGAGTACTATAAATTCACCTGTTTGCCCTAATTTAGAGATTGCACTCCATTAACTTCCTTAGAACTAGAAAAATTAGAGATGATTCATAGTGAATTTGGAACATGGCTTAAGATTCTAGCTAACTGTGGAAATTAGCAAACCAAAATGCCTTGCAAATTGACGTTATAAATGCCTAAGTAGCTGAGCAGCTTTAAATGCCTTAGGCTGAGGAAAGGATGACATGAGAGAATTGTAAAAAAATATGGTTCTTAATTTCAGTCAGTGTTGACTGCAATAAAACTTCTTTAAATTACCTTCATGGTAAAGTTAAGCAGTTTTGTTCTGAAAAATGGTGGTGCACTTTTGTTTGAAGTATGTAACTATGAAAGCGTTTCCCTTGATTAGTCAGTGAAGGTGTTTCTTTAGTTCCCTTCAGTTTCTTTGATCGTCTTTGACATATATCACATCGTTAAATAATAGAGAAAGGATCAAATATCTACAACATTCCCTGATGTATGTAAGTTTAATGAACAGAAGGTTTTTGAAATAAACTAATAGGTCAAGGACAAGTCCATTTTGTCAAGGTTTTCTGTGTCCGTCTAATTATAGACATTGGTTCCGATGCCCAGAAGTATCAAAACTGGTGATTTTGGTCTGCAGGTGGCTAGGTGGACATACCAATTTTAGAAAATTGCCACTGACATTATTTAAATATTCTCTTCAGCTGCACTCGTAAAAGGACCAGTGCACTGTGGCGAAATTTTTAGTTCCCAGAACCGTGATTACTGAACCATAGTAATAGCTCTATTGCACGGATTTGCTGTAGGGGGAAGAGCTCCGCTGGACTTCCAGGTTCCCCCATGTTATCTCTGACAAGGAAATATAGTTGCCTTGGAAGCTCTGAAGCAAGAGAGTTCTCTACACACACACACACACACACACATACACACACACATACACACTCATGCAAGAACCACAAACAATCTAAGTATAACTTGACCTTTCTAGTGTCACCTATGGAAGCAGGGAGTTTCTGTTTTTAAAGATCCTGGTTTTTAAATAGGATTTTAAAATTATTCCTCCATATGGTGTCTAAAGTCTTAATGCAGATACAGGTTTTTCTTATGCTCTGAACAAGTTATTATGGGCTTTAGGACTGAAAGAAATGCAAAACTCCCTGCACAAACAGTCAGCTGCCCATTGAAATGAGGATGTCACTAGGAATCAGCTGGCTGGCACTTAGTTGACAGAAAGCACCATTCTCCCTCACACTGAGCGATGAAGCCATAATCTTCCCCTGAAGCCCTTTTAGGGAGGAGTGTGGCAGGGTAGAAACATAGAGATGTTAGGTCAGTTAGACCTTACCTACATATGCAACGTAGCAGGCCACCTGAAGGCTAGAAAACTGGCCTGACTCAGAGCCTCTGCTGGAGGCAGAAGGAGTGGAGGAAAAAAATTTCCTTTAAAACCTCTGGATATTATTCCTCAAACTCAGAGTCAATTTCCACTAATGGTTTTGTCTTTCCAGTGTTAGTGATAGATTTCTTACGGATCTTTAAACTGTTGCTGAAGGGATGAACTTCGCTTGTTCTCCAGCAACAACACAGTTACCTTTCACTATTACACATGCTGTAAGGGAGTTAACAGTTATACATAGCAAAGAATTGGCAATCAGCATAATATAATTTTCCAAAGCATTCAAAGCAACAACTTATTTCTCCAGTTGCCTATTTAAAAAATCGTTTCTGTAAATAGAGATTTTGTATCCAAATGTCTTCAACAGCATTTTAGCAAAGATCTACAGCAACTCAGCAGGCAGGCCATTTCCCTTAGAGTTTTGTTATTTCTGGACCAAGCCTAAATTTCCTAGCATGCGAGAGCTTAGGCAATTCTCACAGTGCTGCTATGCAAAGAATTTCTTTGGCTTTGAGATCTGTAATATACAACTCCAACCATTATACTGCTGATATATTCTCTATTGGACTAATCTGTAATGGTGTCTTTGGGTGTGTACATGCTCTTTACACTGGAAGGCAGAATGCATTTTTTCTAGATGCACTAAATCAAAGCCCGTTGTTGCCTCTGGCCTTTCCACCACTCCTTGATTCCCAGTGGATGTATATTTTTATGTGGTTTATTGCCATTGGTCTACATGTCTATGCCATATCATAGGACTTTCTATCTGTATTGCAGTCAAAATATTTCTTGGACAGCCCATTCTAAAAAGTGCTGATATTACTATTGCCATTCACAAATATATTAGATCTTGATCTATTGTTTTGTACCGCTGAAAATGCACTTTCTTCACCAACTGTTAGTGGCATACATTATACAAAACTTGTGCTCTTGTATTTTGAAATGACAATTAATCTGCTTTTGAGGTTTGCTTCTACCCCTCTCCCTTGCACCTTTTCTCTTTTGCAAAGTACGTGCATCAGCAGAGATGTGCTTCTGACATGTACCATTGATTCTGTTGCTGTGTGGCTATGGGAGCTCATACCTAAGGGTGCCTTGCTAACTATGTTACTCTGAGAAGAATTGTATCAGAATTTCCATGGGATAAGAGAGATCAAGCCCTCAATATGATCAAAGTGAAATTGTGCAAATAAAACTCAGAAAGAAAACAGAAGAATCAGAGGAGGGTGTAACACTTGTAGTAAATGTTGTGGGTAGTTCTTTGCTTCTAATAGAAAAATCCCTCTGTGCTGCCTACTTCATACCAGCTGAAACTTCCAGTAATGTACCGTCTTTTTTCAGTCACCATCTTTGTATGTGTGCTTTTCCTGCTCTGTGAGCCCATAATAGCAAGAGATACTGAAAGGCTGATGTTAGTAATGTCAGATTAACACCAGTCCTTCCTCTTTCCATATTTGATGGTATGGTGTTTATTGAAGAATGCTTAAGTTTCAGTTGTTAATCCTTTCTGTGGCAGCAGTTGCTTTTACTAGGATGTGCATGATGGTGCTCACAGCACAAACATTACGGAATGCACAACATACTGTGTCTTCCACCCATGCTGGATTCCCAGCACTGCACGAGGGTACACTCTGTCATGCTGCTGAAATGGGGAGATTCCTGGAAGATAAATGTGAACCAACCTTGTGCTTGAGTACAACAAGAGCCAGACTGTACCTCAACTCCACTGGTCATGCCAGGCAGTGTGTCTAGAGTACAAGCAACTTCAGTCCTCAGTATAGGGTGTTTTTCACCACACCTTGACAAAAATACAATCTTATGGTCTTTTCTGGAGGGATGGATGTTTTTTACCACACTGTGACAAAATTACAGTC